CAGTCAATGAGTTAAAGATATCAGTTTGTGATTTGACCATATCCACAGCATGTGTGATGGTACAGTACATGCTCCTTTTTTCTCCCTCAGGTCCCTACGACAACAGGACGGTGTACGAAACCCTGGACATCGGCTGGCAACTGCTGCGAATCTTCCCCAAGGAGATGCTCAAGAGGATCCCCCAGAGCACCCTGGCTGAGTTTTATCCCAGGGAATCAGCCGCCCGCCACTGATCCAATCCTGGGAATGCTCTCGTTCTACCCACCCATCCTCCTCTGGCTTTCTTTCTTCTCCTCCTGTTCCCTCTCCCCGTACTTAAAAAGCTGATGCTTTTTTACCTTCACACCACCTCATCTTTACTTTTCTTTTCTCTCAACTCCCCGTCATCTCCTTCCCTCTCAGCCAACCGGTCCCACATTACTGTACTCCCTCCCTCCCACCCGCCATTAGAACAGGGCAAAAAAAAAACCCTCATTATGTAGATGTTGTGTATCTGTGTTATGGAGTTGTGTATGGATATGGTCTGTGGTTCTAGTCTCCGCTTCCGATTACAACAAAGTCAACATATCATACTATGTTAGGATCAGTCTTTATTTATTGGCGTGTGTTACTGATTGATCTCCATTTTCCCCCCCTTCCTTTTAAATAAAAGAATATATTATCCCCAAAAAGACATTTTAAGAACAGTTCAGACTGATTTCTATATGAGGAGACAAAGTAAAGTTTCCCATATGTCACCATGCTGGTATTCGCTGAAGGGGATTTTATCGTCGTCTGTTCTTAATTTCCACGCTCTTCGTTATGACTGAAGTACCACAGTACTCTCCGGTTTTGTTTTTTTGTTTTTTTCCATTCAGTTGGGCCATCTTGCATCTTCCCAGAACATGAGTTTACAGTGTTTGTTTTGTTGATTTAAAAGAAATGAATATATTGGAGTATATTTAACATTCCCAGCTCTCTACAGAGACTATTCATTGTTGTGCAACAATAATGGCTTTTGAGTGTCTATGAATAAATTAAATTGAATGTCAAAACGCCTCTGTCTGGTCTGTATTATAACTTTATAGTGTCATTGCTCTCTTCTTCATTCAATCTCACCTATTCAACGTCATTTGCCAGAAATGTTGTAGGTTTATTTCAATTAAACGCAACGTGGCGGCCATATTTTCTGTTAATGACACAAATACTGATAATCCTCAAACAAGTCGTCACTATTTTCGATAGGGTTTGACACGGTGAGGCCTCGTGCAGTTCTCCACGAGCCCGCACGCGCTCAGGAGTAAGATCACAGGTGTGTCGCGAGACCGCCCTTCCTGTTTGAACTTTGGACCCAAATTTAGCCGCGATGGCCGCCGAAGAGCTCGAAAAAATGAAGGCTGTGGCCGACCTGTCAAACAAAGGTAATTCTGAAGTAATGTTGGGTCTTTTTGCCCCCCTCTGAAAGGTAGTTTGTCGAACCAGGTTGAATATCTGATTAAATATCTGCTAAACGGTGGTACTGGCCAGTAACGACCGCTTTATTGGTCAGATTTCTTCAGGAGGAACGCTTAAAAACTGGCCAAAAAGTCACTTTAAGCGCCGAAATTCTTCAGATAGTTTAATAATGGACGAAGAAAACCGGAATAAGTTTAGCTGCAGTTAAAAATAAGTATTTTCATATGACGGACTTTGAATATCTCTTTGACTGAGGTTGCAATAATCTAACACATCTTCGCATTTTTTGCACCGGAAGTCTCATTTGGAGCATTTTTTCTTTCACAAATATATTTTTTTATTATTCACGCTTTGTTTTGCTGAGAAATAACATTTAATAAAATGCCATTAGGTTCTTCAAATGTGGTAAATGTGGTCCTAACCTTAAGGCTGATGTGTAATAGGATGTAATCCAATCAGATCCAGTTCATTTAAATCTGAATGGATCCAAACCAGCAGATTGCACACAGATGAGTGACCATTGACTGACCAGGGCCATGGAATAAGTTTTAAGACTTAACAGCTTTTTTTATACAACAGAGTTTTGGTTGTATAATTATCTACAGAGTATTTAGATATTTATCCAGCTCATGAAGTTATAGCCAATAAATATCGCGGCTTTAATTGTTCGCTTGATGTTGTTTTTTGCTATGTTCAAGATTTAATCATTTCAGAAATGATAGTGTCACAGCTGCATTTCTCATTGAAAACCTGAAACTGATGGAATATTTATGTTTTGCTGACAAACCCTAAAGCCCAACATATTTTTTTATTCACCTAATTATAAAGTTTCTCAGCGTCTGACCCAATGACCCTCTTTGAATCTCCACAAGTCAGAACACAATTTATTAACCTGGAATTAGACCCAGACCTATTTTAAGTCAAGACACACAAGTTTTGATACACTCTGGATTCCATTGTGTTGTCTGGACGACGGTGTTTACTATAAAAGTACTTTAAAAACACCACAAATGTCAAAGGTCAGGTCTCACAACCACCGAAGTCAACCAGAGTTGAAAGATGAACAAGATCAACAGCCATCAAGGATTGAAAAGGTTTTCTATTAATGTCACATACAGCTGAGCAAAAAAAAACATGAAAAACAACCTATTTCTTATCTGGTAATATGAGGCGGAAAGTTTATGTTTACAGGTATGAGTAACCATCCATTTCTGTTCTAATAAGTGGATGTAAAGTTTAGAAATATAAACTTCTGAAAGACTGAATGCCTTCAGGCTGACTTCCTTACTGTCATAGCTAAATTAAACAAAGAGCTTTTTGGTCCATCTCTTCTCAGTGTGCGTTAACTTAGTTTAAAATGGCAGATGTGTGTTTCTGTTGTAGCATTCAAAGCTGAATATTGAAGAAGTGGGCTTTTTACTTCCATTTCAGCCAAATACAGTCAAAGTTAAAACACGTGTCATTTCACATCAGATATGCAATTTAAAAAAAAAAGGAAAAACAAGAAAAAGCAAACACTGTTTCACATTTTTCCTGCTTGTAGAATTTTCTATAGTGATTATAACCACAACTGCTGTCTTAAATACGTATACATATTCTCCACTTCCCTTCAGCACATGTTAGCATAGTAGGAACGCGGATATAATTAGACATACTGTTAGTGTTTTGCTTTTTGCCATGGAACAGAAGCATCAGCCTCTGAGAACCTGTCACATGCCGGATGACTGTCCATTGACCTTTTCTTTTTTTCAAGAATAAAGAGGTATGATGGTTCTGATATTCATCATTGTGCTAAACATGTCTCACTGGCATCCTTTGCTCCCCGTAGCGATAAAAGAATATGAAGACCTACAGGAGAGGAATGACAACACAGCTTTGGAAGTAAGTGTAATTCATTATTCAGTAATCACAGTAGGTACAACTCGTTCTTTTCTTACTATATCCTGCGCGAGAAATATGTAATAAGAGTAACAGTTATAGAAATAATACAAGTTTTTAAAGAAATATTTTTATTGAATTTTATAACAACAGAAAGAGCAAGTGACAGTGATACACTTAACACAGATTTGTATTAAATAACTTGGTCCCCAAAGCAAACAAACACAAATAAACAATAATGAACAATGAGAAAAAGAAAAACAAACAACAAAAAAAAAAAAACCCAGCAATCTCTGCACAGTTCTCTTAATGTCCTTTGTAACATTTCAGAAACTCGGTCAACGGTCTTAGAAATAATACAATTTAATTAAAAATAAGACCACTTCCCACCAATAGGAGTTGCTAAAGATGCAGTTTGAACAGTTTATTGTTTTAAAAGCACTAAAGAAATAAAAGAACAAGATCCTTAGCCTGTTGCTAACTTTGTACACATAATATAGTTAGATAATTAGATAATAGTCCTTTGCATAGTCCAGAATGATGGCAGACTGTTGAGGGTCTGTTCTTCATCCTTGAAACATTGGTTGAAAAGATTAAATAGGTAATTTTAAATAGGACCTGCAGTATGTAAGTATCAAGTTTTACATGGTGGGGACAAGTTTGTGCATCCCTGACTATTTCCATTATTTTCATTGGGTATTTGTATCACCAACTCCAATTTGATCAATGAATAAATTCTGAAAACTGTCAAATTTCATTAATTAATTGAGGTTTTAGGGTTAGCAGTAAATGTGTAATATGCATAAAAGAAAAATTAGACAGTTGAATCAATTCAGGCAAGCCAACAGAAAAATCACCATCAATATTTAATAGAGTCCCTTTTGCAAAAATAACAGCCACTAGAATAGATGCGTACTAAACAATACAAAATAATACAAAATAGTACAAAATAATAGTCACTCTAAAAAAAAACAGGATGTCAAGAGGGCTAACAAGTAAAAACTAATAAACACAGACTATTTAAAACATGAGGGGAAGGGAACTCCACGGGAACCAATCAGGGATCAGTGAGGACAATCACACAGGTGACACACAGGGAAGTGGGATGTGTTTTTCAAAATAAAACAGGAAGTGACAAGACAACCATGGAGACAGGACAAAAACCAAGCTGGACCTGTTACAGACTTGTTCCTCTGCCTGTTTCCCTGAGAACATTTTGAGTCATTGTCTTAATTAAATATCCAGCCCCGGCGTAACTTCAACTTTGTGACAGATTCTTGAACATTATGCTCCAGAATTAGCTGATATCGAGTTGAATCCAGATGAAATATCTCTTAAAACCAGAGTTCTCAACAGTCTGTGCTTTCAGGCCATTTGAGGGTTGTTTTGAGGCCCCAAAGTTGCGATGCTTTTTCTCTTTGACTCACCTTTTCAGAGGAGAACCAAAGAGAACAACAACTTGGAATTGGTCTTCTTAAAAAACCTTCTCCCATAATTGGAGAAAGAGCTTGCTAAGCTAATTTTGTGTTCCAATAATCAGTGTCAAGTAGTTACTGGTCTTAAAATCAATAAAATGACAAGGGTCCCCACATTTGTGCATAGTATTTTTTAAAATTTGATTTAAGTTCTTCTAACTTGCTGTTGCTACGGTAAACGTCTTTGTCTGAAAAACACGCGGTACTCTGCTTTTATTGGAAAGTGAATGACATGCCACTGTCAGCTTTTATTAGAAAATGAATGACATGCCACTGTGATCATTTTCTGTCAAGACAGTCAATAATTATCCTGCTTCAGAGGTGTGCCCACACTGTTTTTTTTACACTCTACGTGGGATCTGCTGGAGCCTCTCCAAGTTAATGAAATCTTGATTTTTTTCAGGTCTTTTCGGGTTTCTTGGGGTCTCAGGGCTTTAAAGACTGCTGCCTTCAAAGCCCTTGTTTTTTGTTCGACTTGTTCATGGTCTTTCTTCTTAGACATAGACATAGACAACTTTACTGTCATTTTGTGTGTGCGGAGTGCACACAAACCGAAATTTCATTGCATACCAACGATTGCCAACATTTGATGTTGCTGTCATTTTGGATTGTTACAGCCATCATTGTTAACTTATCGACTTCCACACTGTTTAGCTGGTTAACTATCCCCTGCTTGTTAGCTTAGATCTGGAACTCCCACAGCATCATAGCTCCATGATTGTCCACCATCTTTGGAGGTATCTCCCACTTTGACTTTGGGAATTTTAGCCCATACTTGCCACTTAGTACCTATACTCTATAGATCAGTGTTTTTCAACCACTAGTGTGCCGTTAGTGATGGTCAGGTGTGCCGTAGAAAATCATCCTATTTCACCTAATTGGTCTAAAAAGATTTTTTGATAAAGAATTAATTATCTGCAAATAATGTGCCATTTCTGAGTGTGTGTGCTGTTCTAGTGACTGGTGGAGTAATCATGTAATAATTCCTTGTGACTAGATTTTGTATATAATTTTGTATATTGAAGTGGACATGTTAAGTGCAATTTGAAAGAAGAAATATAAAATATGATAAAAATACATTTTTGTTTATTTGATTCCTATTCAAGACACTTAAGATAAGATGAGAATAAAATAAGAATAACTATAGTGTTACTATAGGCGACTACAGATTTTTTAAACATTTTTGGTAGTTGGTGTGCCTTGTGATTTTTTCAATGAAAAAATGTACCTTGGCTCAAAAAAGGTTGAAAAACACTGCTTTATATCAACAAGTTGGTTATGGTGTTTCATGTATGCCATGCACACGTCCTTCTTCTGTGGGCATCAGGTTTTGTGACTAATGGAGTTAGTCATGCTAGCACTAGCTGCTTCAAATCTTTGTCATTTCTTTTTGGGCTTCTTAGTGAACTGTGTGAACTCACAACGATTGTACTAGAGTTCAAATGCCTCCAAATCCCCAAAAATGGGTTGTGGAGCTCGACTCCAGAGGAAACGGCTGTGGCCTGAAACATATTTTACACTGAACTTCTGAACTTCTCACTGCTCTTCATGAAGAGATGGCAGATATGTTTAAAACTGAATTGGAGTCAGCAATGACAGTCAACCTGACGCAGAGGAAGTCTGTAGTCAGCATTACTATTGGAGTTGTTACGAAAGAGTTTATGGGGAAAAGGTGCGGGATCAGGGATCAAATGATTCTAGGTAACTGGATCTTTTGAATCTTTTTATTTAAACAAAACTCATTCGCTTTCTGTTGACATTAAAAACTACTTTGGTGACAATGAGTCTCTTGCTAAAATGTTTTATTTTACTGTTACTCCTTGTACTGTAGGTATTTGGCTATGGCTGACTTCCTAGCTGCCTTTTCATAGTTTCCACCTGACCCCAAGCTGTCTTCATCATCTGAAATGGTAGCCTCTGATTTTGAACCCTATCAAATGTAAATGGGTTAACGGTATCTAGAGCAACAGCGTCATCTTGGTTGTTACCAGCTTTTTCTGTTGGCTTTGAATTTGTCTCAAGGGTTGGTTTCCTCATTCCTACTGAATTCCCTACGAAAGATTTTAGTGTCCTGTTGATGTTTTAGAGCTACAAACATTCCAGTATTCTTTTATGCAGCATTGAGTTGAAGGCTTTTGTTGCTAAAACATGACTGTAGCAAGAGCGGAAAGTTGTTGTTTTGCAAAGTCCGTTTCTTTAGGGAAATATTTAGGGGAAATATTTTCATTCGGGAGGTCGTTCTGTCTTCATAATTGTAGCCAACGCAGTTACATAAGCATTTTTTCTGTGTGAATTTATTTCATTTTGTGAATATGAATATGTTTTACTTTTAATATCCATTTCATATTTTGTGTATTTTGTGATTAATATGTACATACTTTGGGGAAATATTGTAATAATGTCAGATGGAGACGTCACCGATTGGGTCTTCACTTGATCACGTGATTCCTTTGATAGGAAGTTCTGAGTTTGTTTATAATTAGTCTGCGTGTGTAAGAGTAAAGGCAAAGGACTGAAATATAGAAGAAATGGACATCTAGCAACTCCTAACCTTCTGGTTGGAGGGGCATACGGTATGGACAATTTAGAGAATTTGTATTTTGTTTAATAAGTTTCATTTGATAATTCATGTAAGGTAACATGACGGTTTTATTGATGAATATTTTCCACCGTGTATTTTGCAGTGTTCACGGTGGTCTTGGTCGTTTATATGACGGAAAATCCTACAATAAACGTTTGGAACCATCAGTTGGATAATTGCACTTTCATCAACCAGTTAGAAAAAGTTGGGCGCAGCTATAATAATAATAATGCATAATCTTGGCCTCCAACCTGTTTCCTTTGGACGTTTCAGCCTGAATTTGAAACCGGCTGCTTACTTCTCCTTATATTTTTCATCTAGTCTCCAAATATTTGACCATATAGTACTGTGTTCACATACTCTATCAGGCTCTATGAGTTTTACTCCATGCAAACTCCAAGTGTCCATTTTATCCACAATCATCAGTCTCAGCTCACCAAGGTTGACAAATCCTTTGATGGTGGAGATGACAATGTGCTAAAGGTGCTATGTCTTTGTATTCCTACAAGTGCAAGAGGCTGGAGGAAGAGAGAGATGAGGCCATGAAGAAACTCACAGAATTCCAGAAAGGTGAGTTAATCTTTCCTTGACCCAGAAAAGGAGACTTCATCATAAATGATTTGATTCGACAGAAAAACTGATTACGGTAAAGGGAAAAAACATTGCCTAGCTACAGTGGATTACCTGTCATTTTTTCTTTTTTGTATAAAATTATAGAAATATCATTGATTTACACACACACACACACACACACACACACACACA